TTGTTCGTATCAAATGATCACGAATAGCATCGTCTTCGTGATCTGCGTCTTCACATTTCTTTGCAATCGGTTTCGTATCTTCGCGTAATATTCAGCTAATCTTTCAGAGCTTTGTTGTTTCAATTCGCTGAGTTGAAAATATTCCCAGATAAGAACAAAGGAAACCGGGCAGGGTGAAAAATAAATATAGGATATTAGACGGTTGCGAAGAGATATGGATTTCATGTTCGAGCGGCAAAAACAATATCTCACGAGTGAGCGCAGCGAACGAGTGAGATATTGTTTTTGACACGAGAACATAAATCCATATCTTCTCGCAACCGTTTAATTTTCTGTTTAATATGGACTTACTCAGAGTGACAAAAAGACACACAAAGACGACATGTAAATAAGCACGCGAAAGACTAGTATAAAAGCGATATTTTTTAAAATTATATAGTGCAAACATAAAACTAGAATAAATTTTACTTATCTCAAGATGTCTTTTAAATGTTTTCGTTTTATTTCCAACGTTAATTTCGTTTTATATACGAACCAAAGACCATTTGTATTTTCAAAACAACAACAATGATAATGGCGGGAAATTTTCAGAACTTCCTATGTCACTAGCAGGGGTGAAATACGGAAAATACGCGCACCTGGGATCACATGAGAGTGACGAAATTAGACTGTCTCCCTCGCAACAGCGCGAGAGGGAGATTTATCACTTATTTATTGAAACCGAGGGAAACAGTGTGTTTTGTGGACCCGAGACCGTCGATGTTTCCCGAGGCGAAGCCGAGGGAAACATCGACGGTCGAGGGTCCACAAAACACACTGCTTTTCCGAGGTCTCAGTAAATAAGTGTTTTATTATATATCAATAGTCAAAGAAACAACAAATTAAAGAACAAATGAACGTAAATACATGAAATATTTTATTGTTAAAACGTTATATTAAACACTGGCTACACTGCAGTTACGTGAAGCGAAAGTTTTAATTACGTACTAGGCATGTCCAAAGGTCGCATCTTCACGTGATGGCGCACGTGATTTTTTTTGTTATTCGCCGGTCGATAACGTATTATCTCCCTCGTCACTCTCACGTGATATGCTCTCAACCAATAAAACACTAGAAAAATGCGACTTTGACTATTGATATATAATAAAATACGTTATCTAACGGCGAATAACAAAAAAAATCACGTGCGCCATCACGTGAAGATGCGACCTTTGGACATGCCTTGTACGTAATTAAAACTTTCGCTTTAAGTAACTGCAGTGTAGCTAGTGTTTAATATAACGTTTTAACAATAAAATATTTCATGTATTTACGTTCATTTGTTCTTTAATTTGTTGTTTCTTTGACTATTGATATATAATAAAACCATAGACGGATTTTCTGGGGGGGGGTGCAGGGGGGTGCTACCACCCCAATATTAGCTATAACCCCTCCCAAACAAAATGTCCACCCCTCCAAAAAAATTTTCAACCCCCCCAATATTCGGCATAATAAATAAATAATTAAATAGTCCACTCCAACGTGCAGAGTGTTGATGATACACAATAAACGTAGGAGTACACTCGAACAGAAAAAGACAGTGCAACACTCTGAAACTAATCGCTCCTCGCTTGCATTCACTGGTTTATTGGAGCAATTGTAAAGTTTTGAAACTCTTTGTTAACAATATCCCATCTGATAGCTCGGATATTACATGTGGGGTTCCTCAAGGATCCATTTTAGGACCATTGTTATTCTTCTTGTACATTAATGACTTACCAAATTGTAACTTGATATCCGATGGACATCTATATGCTGATGATACTAGCTTGACATATGCGGATAACGATATTAATCAACTACTCTCCGTAATGAATAGTGATTTACTTTCGCTTAGAAATTGGCTTAACATAAATAAGCTCAGTCTAAATACACTTAAAACAAAATGTATGTTCATCGCAACTCGACACAAATTAGCTACCTTACCAAGTCAACCAACAGTGGCCATCGACACTTTGTGTTGCTTCAGTCACCTGCTCATGGCTCACCCCCCTAAAATTTCTGGCACCACCCCAGTAATAAATATGAAAATCCGTCTATGAATAAAACACTTATTCACTGAGACCTTGGGAAAGCAGTGTGTTTTGTGGACCCTCGACCGTCGATGTTTCCCTCGGCTTCGCCTCGGGAAACATCGACGGTCTCGGGTCCACAAAACACACTGTTTCCCTCGGTCTCAGCAAATAAGTGATAATTATTACTCGCAGCGACTCGTGAGCTGTGAGCTTAAGGCTAAGAAACCAGTACGGAATCGATTCTTACCATGAGTGGAACTGAGAAAAAGCAATACAGGGTGTATCAAAATAAACGCAATTCATCTTTTGTGCTTAATAACTTTCGAAATACTATCTCTAGTTAAGGCTTACTTCAAAGCCTGTTCTTTTCTCTTTCAAACAAACTATTATCCTTGTCTCCAATGCTAGTAATAATTGCACAGGAAAAGATTTAGTAAAACCTATCATTTTTAGTTGCTGTTTAATTATGCAAGTTTACTATGTTATTGTTTAGTCGGTTTAAATGTTAGAATTTTCTTCTTTAAACTTTAATGTTGTCGCCATACTACATCTGGAAAACCACGTAAGAACAAATTAAAAGTATTTAAAAGAGACCAGCTTGTTTGAAAATCCTAAACGAATGCTAAAAATCGTCAAAACATTCTGGTGTCTGAGCCAGAGTGTCATCGAATTGCGATGTAATGTAAACAGAAATTATAGCAAGTTGATGTCAGTCAGCTTAGATGGTCCAAGCCAAAATTATATCGCATTTGAAGTTTCAAACAAGTTTTTGCTATCAGATTTCATATCAAGTCTGTTTACTGTTAAGCGCATTTACCACATTATATAGACTATATACACATATTTATTACACTAAGAAACCAAACCTTTATAAAAATATAGAACTGACAGTGGCCAAAGTCCATTGAGTGATCAACGCACGTAAAAGAACGAAAATTAGAACACCGAAAACATGATGCAAAATATGGACTGAATCAGCAAGAGAAAGCAAACGCGAATGGATAGAAAAACCTTCTCTATGTAGAAAGACATCTCTATGAAGACTTCCATGCTTTACAAGTTTACAGCACTAACAGCTCAAGTAAAGTCGATGGCAGTACACATTAGCAGAAAATATAGTTTATATACAAGTGTACGGAAGGCGAATATACTGTAAATAGCAAGAAAACAATGAAGTGAATACAATCGACAAAAGTTTACCTTTCAAGAGAACTAGTCTTCTTGAGAAAAACGAAAAACCTTATACCATTTGATCAGTCTTCAGGAATCGTTTGAAATCCGATTCCTTTTTAGAAAAACTTTTAACTTGTATCGCTTCCCTGCATATACTAAACCACCATCGGCAAACTGTTTGTCAGGTTGAGCTCGGTTTTCTATGCTGCCGAATACTACAAAACCAGTCAAAGCCGTTATGGCATAATTATGGCTTATGTGCCCTGTTGTTTGCACATAGCCGCTTTATTGTTTTAATCAATTTTTAATAATTAACAAGAAAAATGATTAATTAATAACTATATAACATTTAGCACAGAAAAGATGGGGTATTACTAACGCCCACTACACATAACGTATCTATATAAGTTCAACATATAGCGTCCAACAACGGGGAGGAGGGTGGGTAAATCTCTTCCATCCAATTTCTTGATGTGAACTGCAGCCCTCGTGGAATGAGAAAGGAATGGTGGCCCACTTCACCACTGATAACTACCAAAATTTCCTTTCACGTGACTATACTTAAATTAACTTGCGCGCGTAAATTACTTATTTCGCATAATTAATTTCAACTATAAATTATTCCGGGAAGCAATAAAAACTCTTATCGCTGTGGCAATAAGTTCCTTTATATAGCCTAAGACCACGCATTTTATCGTTCTTGTTGTAGATACACTCATTCCGTTTTCTACTAGATGAATTTTTTAGCTTTTCACAATGTACAGCGCTTTGAGTATTTTACATAGACTATCTGCGCTCTATTTAAATGAATAAATTATTATTTATTATTATTATTACCACTGCGGCAGTTCCCACGTGCCACTAAGTACGACAACCAACGGCTGTATAACATTTAAGTTTACTACGCATCTACTGCGCATGACCACAGTTCCTTGCGTTTAGAAAAATTGAGAAATTTTGCCCCACTACACAAATTAGGTCTGCTGCGTCGCTCGCTCGCTTCAGGCTCGCTCGCTTCCGCAGCAAGTAATAGATCAAGTTTCTACAGGGGCTTAAAAATACTAAAATATGTATAAAACAACAGTATAACTCCCCGAAAATATAAATTTTAATATTCAAATATTTTAATATTTGAATATTAAAATGTTTATTTTCGGAGTTACCGTTGTTTTATATTTTATTAAAATACTCAGTGGTTCCCGTAATTTTAAAAAATACTTTTTCAGATCTTTTTCGACCTCAGTTTTTGAGACATATTGAATTCCTTAATATTTAATTTAACAAATTCCGCAATTCCAGAATTCCGGGGCTTCTCTTAGCAAGCAGTTCCGACCCTGATTGCAAGTACTTTGATCCTACAGTCACTCCACCACTGTATAGTATTTTAAATCCAAAAAGGAGGACTGCATGGATTGGATTTCATGTCCAAGCAGCGTGTTTCAGTAACAAGGAGTGGAGCTAACTGCGAGAACTTGAATTCCTTTCAGTCCGATTTTGAGGTTTATGTTTTGCAATGACATTTCACGAATAAATCATAACTTAAAGTGAAGTGAAATAATTTTGATCCAGGAGTAGGACTGAATTAATTTTGTTTCAGTCCAGCCCTAGGACTTGTTTAAAATTCAATATAGTTCTCCAGGTTTCCAGTATCATCATGCGAGAAAAATAAAGCAAAATGGTTGGCTAATGTCCTCATGAATTACTAATGAGTTTGAGATATAACATCAAAGTAAAATAATGAATGAAACAACAGTTATTAAATGTATTTATAATGTTTGTTTTTAATTGCAGGCAAATATGTCTATATTGAGACATCAAGTCCCAGAGTACAAGGTCAGCAAGCCTATCTCGTCAGTCCCCAAGTCAGCGGTACTCGATGTTTGAAATTCTCTTACCACATGTACGGCGCTAGCACGGGATCTCTTATCGTCTATCAAAATATGGGTAGTCAACTGATGGAGCTGTTCAAGAAATCTGGTGAGCAGGGCAACCAATGGAAGAAAGTTGAACTACAAATAAACAATGGAAGCCGTTATTCTGTAAGTATATAAATTTTCTCTCCCGATAATGGTTGGTAAATATATTGATCATGTATGATCTCACTTTAAAGATCATCCAGAAACTCCAACAGAGTGAGAATAGTCGAATAGCTCTAGCCGAATGAATCCAACAGAGTGAGAATAGAGCCTTAAGTGGAAAGCTACCACGACTACGAGTAGCTCTGGCAATGTAACTACATTTCCATGCAGTGAATATGTGGGAGAGCTTGCCCCTCGAGATTTGAAGAATCGTTTTTCATAACCTGTCGTGGGTCATTTGTATGTTATCACGATGTAAAACTCCGGCAACGTTTTCACTATAAGGGATGTTTTCCGTAGGGAAAACGATATCAGATATATAGGCCTTCCATTCATCTATATTGACGTTAAGAAAACAATTTCTGAAGTGATTTTGAAACGGAGCACCAGTGCTGAAAATTATCACGTTTCACGACGGATAGCTGTCGTGTATTGGATCTATATTTAGTGCATGTGCAGGTCACACTGTCGTTGGTGGCAATAGTTCAAATTGATACAAAACTTTGGTGCGGTTTACACTATATTGTACAGCCTACAGGCTTATGAAACGGCCTAGCTATTCCATAGAGTGTAAACGAAGTCTCCATCATGATCTGTATGAACGGTATTTCATTTCAATTTGTTTTTCAAAGGTTGTATTTAGTGGAGTAACAGGAAGTAGTTACCAAGGTGACATTGCATTGGATGAGATTTCAATCACATCTGGTCAATGTTCAGGATCTCCTGGCACACCAAAACCTCCATCAGGATCATGTGGCCAGAAAGGATATGGTCTGAGTGACTTCGCCAGAATTGTCGGTGGTCAGGAAGCCACACCAGGTGAATGGCCATGGCAAGTAGCACTTTTGCGAGGAACATCCCCATTCTGTGGTGGTTCACTTGTTTCAAATCAATACGTTATTACTGCTGCTCACTGCGTCAGATCAACGGACTGGAATAGCGTGACGGTAATAAATCTCATGTAACCATGCCTGGCCAAGCCCACTGGAACCCTTTTTGAATGTTCAATGATGGTATCCTAACTGTTTGTGCTACTTTCCACCTTCACCTTTATACGTGCCTTAACAAACCACCTACAAACGTCAAATTTATTTTAGCTGCCCTCTTTGCTTTTCCTTACACACCATGAATTTCCTCCTGGATGCCTTTTATCATTTCAAATAGTGTAATTTTTCTCAAATTCCCCATTACTGCCAAATAATGGGTGTATTATACTCCCAGAGTTATTACCACTACAATAGTTATTACCACTTTCGGCTATAATTCCAGTTCAATGATAATACAGTATTATCATTAATACTCACTAAACATGGCCTATCGAAGAGAAGATGGCTGTGAAACTCATTAGCGTAACCGCAATATAATTCATTATCTATGTTAGTCAACGTTTGTTCCTAAATCTAGTCCTTCTCCGTCACGTGTGTATTGTAGTTTTGCCCTGCAACTAACCAATAACAATGTTTTAGGAAAGTTACCTATCCGTGACTCGAACAATATGATAAATTGGAAATTGCTATTGGTGGATTTGGCAAAAATACAATGCGCATGCACGTGACGGTGAAGGACCAGATTTATGAATAAACGTTGACGAACATATAGATAATTAGTTATATTGTTATTCTAATACGTTCCACAGAAAAGGATTTAATTGAGCCCGTATCTTTCCAATTTGAATAAAACTAGTGAAAAGAGAAAGTTTGTTTATAGTCTTCTGTGGTTTATATACATTCTTCTTTTCCCATTTTCAGTCACATTTTGTTCTAACTAATTTCCCATTTTCAGATCAGAGTAGGTGAACATGATATGCGCGTGAATGAAGGACATGAACAAGATATCAGTATTGCAAGAAATGGCATTACAGTTCATCCTCAGTACAACCAATTAACGCAATATAATAATGATATTGCAGTCATCAGACTTTCCAGAAGTGTTCAGTTTACACAACGGATAAAGCCCGTCTGTTTTAACAGCGGCATTGATTTCACTGGTATAGTAACGTTACTTTTAGAGCAATAGAACCTTAAGCCGAAAAAGCGAGGTATTGAATGCTACCATCATTATCAATATTATGTTTATCACTCAACAGTCGCGCTTTCCATGTGCCGCTCCTACGCATTTGGTTTAGCACATGAAAAGTTCGAGAGCTGGTTGTACGAAGGTCGGCCATGCAGCGGTATATTATTTTTATATTTATTTGTATATTATTCAAGCTTTCTAACAGTGTCCGTTGATCGCGGTATAACCCTGATTAAACTTCAGTATATATAAATTAAAGTGTCTTTTTATTAGTCATGTTAATCTTTCCATAATTTTTCCAACGACAAAAAATTACTATATATCCAGGCCTGAAGACCAGATTGCAAGCGCTCTTTGTTTTTCTACTGGTCTGGTAATGCGCCTATTAGCAAAAATGCAAAATAGCAATATAAAATTAACCACATAATGTCATACATTATCACATCACAAATGTCCATTTAATTACAGTAATGCACTTGATGGTAACCTCCCTAAACATTGAGCTCATAAGGTCCTGAACGCTACCTCCAAAACAACGATCATATACATATAGATCAAATAGCGAAATTATGGTATTTCTATATAGGTCAACGTTGTTACATCTCTGGATGGGGCAGACTGCAAAGTGGGGGATCAACGCCAAATGTCTTACAGGAAGCTCAAGTTCCCATTGTAACTCCACAACAATGCAAAGAATCATACGGCAGCTCGAGTATTACTGATAGAATGCTGTGCGCTGGATATTCTCAAGGTGGTACCGACACTTGCCAAGGTGACAGCGGAGGTAAGACTTAAGAATAGATATGATTTGTTCGTCACAGTCAAAACGACATGATAGCAACCATTACGCTAACCGTTATACCAGTTACAGTAGTACTAGTCGTAGATTTATTCAACCTTCCCCTAGGGCTTTTCAGGTTTAAATTACAACATTACGTCTTGAAATTTACAATATAAATAGCGAATAGCTATTATAAGTTATTACATATAATAAAATGTTAAAAGTACATTATAAGGACCATGTACATCATAAAATCTAAAAATATGTTCCTTTCAAAGTTGAGTAGTTCAGCAAAAGCCAGATCGACTAAAACCACAGGAAAGAATTACCGGCTTCGGAATAAAGAATAAACGCATTTTACCCATGCATATGGCACCTAATGGCTTTACTTAAAACTTATTAAAAAAAAACTTTAAAATCTGTAATGGACTTCAACGAAACTTTCCCAGATCTACAATCCAGGCCAAAACTCATGTGGACACTTGACACTTCTTATTTGATAAAAAATCGCATTCAACATTGGCTTGTAGTGGGGGAATAATTATTCAGAAAAAACACCACTCGAGTACAATGTCTGTGGGTTGTCCACAACATTTTGGCCAGGATTGTAGTTGCCCCATATAATTGCCCCGGTATAAGAGTTCAAACCTGCAAAGGTATAGTGTGCCACTAATCATTTAAAGGCAATCGTTAAATCGACCTAATTCAAATAAATGTTGTCTTCCGTTCATAGGTCCACTTGTTTGTCAACATAGTGATCGTTCATGGTATCTTACTGGTGTGACGAGCTGGGGTCGTGGGTGTGCATCTGCCGGATACTATGGAGTTTATGCTCATGTTGCCAACCTTTACCCCTGG